GTCCGTGCCGCCGGTCAGACGCCTCCTGCCACGCCTCGTAGGGGAGAAAGGCTTTTTTGAAAGAAGTTGCAGACCCAAGTGGAGATTCTGTAGCCTAGGTAGGATAGTCTGACCTGCTAGCCTAGTCTCTCTGGCAGATGATTTGTGTCTTCAGGGCGTGGTGAGCCCGCACGCGGGCGGTCCTGGGGTCCCAGGGGCGTCCCCGGGGGGCGTGGTTGGTGTCGCAGAGCTTCGGGAAGCGTGACGCCCAGAAAGCGCGTGGGCCCGGGCCCGACCCGGGGCACAGCGGCCGCCTGTGTCCCCCCACCGCGGCCTGCCCGCCCTGCGCAGGCCACGACTTGCACTAGAGCCGCTCTAGTCTCTCAGGAATTTGCTTGTTACTTTTACTGTGTAAATAAAGCTTCCTGGTTCACACCCAAGCACCTGAAGCTGCCGTGTGCTTTCTGTTGGGGGTGGCGAGATGGCGGGTCCCCCGTGCCCACGAGAGCGTGAGCTCTGGGCCGGAGGGGCACGGACTGGAACCTTCTGTCCCCGCCAAGCCTCGGGGTTAGAGTCCATAAAACGGGGACGTTTCACGGAGCCGCGGAGAGGCTTGCTCGCAGGACGGGCAGAAAGGCTGCCCCTCTCAAAGCGGGCTGTCCTCTCTCTCTCTGACCCCGTGCTCCAGCTGGAGATCCCCGGGCAGCAGGGGGAGACGCTCCCTCTGACACTGGAGTCAGGAGCAAGGGAAGAGTCTGCCTCTCACGGAGCACGGTCTGCCCGAGTGAGCACGTCCACCCAGCCTGGCCCACAGTCCTGCAGGGACCCGTGGCAGCCACCCGCCACCTGCCCAGGGTGGCCAAGGAGGTGGTGTGGACCGGGCCACCCGCTCAGGGCCTCTGTCCCCACCAGGAGCAGCGTGGCCAGATATGCTGTGTGCCGTGAGCACATGGCACACGTGCAGCCCAGCACGGCCCCTGTGCCTAGCCCTCCAGCTGACCAAGCTCGGGAGGTGCGGGGTGTTTGCGACCCTGAGGACAGGCGTGGAGAAGGCTGCTGGATTTCCATAGCACAGCGTGTGTCCCCATCAAGTGACCCCGGAGTTTTCGCCCTGGAGCATCTGTGAGGTCCTGAGGCCCTCTGGGAATGAGGCCCTGGAGCACTCAGTTTCGACTCCTGGTTTTCTGTTTTCTTTTTAGTAAGACCCTTTGTCTCCCGCCCCCCCACAAGGAACTCAAGAAACGGGTGAAGCAAGAATGCTGGGGTGAGCGGGTCCCCATCGCCCCTCCGTCTCCTTCAGCCTCGCGGCCCCCAAAGCCCAGGATCCACTGATCTGAGGCTGGACACATCGACTTCCCAGCCCACCCTCGTCCCCGCCCCAGCGTCTGGTGGGTGGCTGCAGGCGGGCCTCTGCCAAGCCTGTGCTCCCCCGACGCGTCCCCACCGAAGGGCAGGGCACAGAGCAGCCCCGGGCGAACCCCTGGCCCCTCACGACCGCTTCCGCCTCGCCCTCTGCACCCTGCCCAAGAGGCAAGGGCTGCCGGCTCCCGCCAGGCTGTCACCCCCTTCGGCTGTGCCTCTCCACCTTGAAGTCTGCTGAAACGAGGACCCTCCCCGGGCACAGGCTCTGGTGCCCGCGGGCAGCGGCTTCCCCCACCGTCTGGGAGGGCATCTGACATGTGACACCGGACACGGGCGTGCTCAGAGCAGCCTTCATCTCTACACAGTGACCATTGTCCTGGGGGCTTCCCTGAGGACTGATACCGCCTCCAACATGGAAACTGCACGACCCAGAGAAAGGGCTGAAGAAAAGGTGGCGAGGAAGGACCCCTAGGTGGTGGCAGTGGTCAGACTCAGAGAGACTTTGCTGGCAAATTCACCATCATAATCATTGCTTTTATAATCAAAACACACACAGATAGTGGGACGTGCCCGACGGATTTACCATCCAGACCAGACAGTTTTCAGGGGAAAGCTGGGGCTCTTGATGGTCATCTGGGACAGGAGGTGGGTCCAAGGGCGCCCCGTAGGTGTACAGCACACGTGTTGGGCCCCCCGGGGGGGATCCCTCACCTCCGCCCTATGGTGAGCACACAGGAGCCTGTCCGCCTGCCAGCTGCCCTCGGCTTCCCTGAGGGGGCGGGAGCCACCCAACAGGAAGGGCGCGGGACGGCAGCCCTGGGGCTGGGCCTGGCTCTGCCCTTCTGGTCCTCTGGAGGACTCACTTTGAGCCGGGTTTCGGCCCCAGGGGAGGAGAAAGGGCTGAAGCCACCTGGGCCCGAGGCGCCCACTCCTGGTGAAAGGCCTCTGCCACCCACGGCCCAGTTCCCCTCCTGGTGTCGGTGAGACGAGGGCGTGGATGCTGGCTGTCCTCAGTCCTCTGACCCATGCCACCCGTCTGCTTTCCCCCATGGGAGTTCGGTGGGGCAGAGATGGCACCCCAGCTGTGGGCGGCCCAGTCTCTCTGCCACTCTGACTCCTGGCCTTTTCTAGGCCCCAGGGTTGCTGGGCAGGCAGCAGGGAGCCTGGGGGCGTGGGACCATCTTGTCACCTGCCAGGGGGCTCAGATGGCGAGAGGGGCCGGCGATGCGCTTAGACCCCACCCCCGTCCAGGCCTGGACTGGCGAGCCACGGGCGACATACCGGTGTCTTGTTGCACTAGCCCAGCTTGAACGGGGTTTTCACGAAGTGGCACGTTCGCCCAGAACAGGTTGCGGTGTGGGCCCTCGGGCCGGAAGGTCAGCGGGCAGGTGAGGCCCCAGAGGCGCCACTGCCCCTCCGGTCCCCTCTCCGCCCCACTCCCTTGTTGCCCTGACGGAGTGCCCCGATGGCAGCCCCCAGCTGCTGCTCCAGGACTCTGCGGAAAAGTCCCTTGGGAGCCCCCCGTCGAGAGTCTGAGCGGCCACTCCGTGGTGTGTGTGCTTAACAGGGACAGGACCCGAGTCTGCTGCTGGTCCCCAGCCCCAGACCCACGTGCAGCCTCGGCCTGAGAGCCTGAGCCATCCGAGGGTCCCGTTCCACACCCCGACACACGCCGGCGATTGTCAGCCGCTGGAAGGACCCAGGAGGGGGGGAGGTCATGCCTCACTTCAGGGGGACACTGTCACCTGACTGAACAGGGCCAAAGCCATCAGCTCCGTCCGGGGGACAGGGCACCCAGCCGGGCTCTGAGGGCCAGGATGAGGAGACGAGTGCTCTGGTTTGACAGACAAGGCAGCCGAGGCCAGAGGTTGCACGACTCGGCCCAGGCAGGGCTGGACCCCAGCCCCAGAGAGTGTTTCATCTCTAGAGAAGGGACACCCGCGTGCCAGCCTGGCTGGGAAATCCCAGCCACTGGGGCCACCACAGCCCTCCCCACGGAGGGATTCCGGGCGAGGCTGGGGGCGGCGTTGCGGCAGGGGCCAGAAGGAGCGTAGTCAGACCTTTATTCAAGTCGCAGCTCTGCCCCTCGCTGCTGATGCTTGAGGAAGTCGCTTTCTCTCTCGCACCTCAGTTTGCTCATCTGTAAAATGGGAAGGATGACCACGCCCGCCCCACTGAGCTCACTGCAGCTCAGAGGGCGGCACGTTCTCTGCCTAGACAGAGCAGGGTGTGCGCCCTGGGAGCTGTCCCCTCGGCACCTCACTCCCGGTCAGCAGCTCGAAAGGGGCTCAGCTTGTCCTTCAGAGGGGCTGCCGCCCTGGCTGCGAGCGGAGGAGGCTCACTGAAAACAAAAGACCCACCAGAGACACCCACCAGCCTGTCGGTCACCCTTCAGCCCTGGCGAGCGGCCGCCCACTGCTAGCACCCGTTTGCTGGTCTCCTGTCCCCAGGGTCTCCCCCCAGGAGCGAGCGATCAGCCTGTTTTCCAGCTAACAGGCCAAACGGCCCTCCCTCCCTCCGATGCCGGGGACTCTAGCCCGGCTGGCGGCCTTTCACCTTGAGGCGAAGACTCAGCCACGACTTCCTCCTCATCCTGGCTCAGCTGCCTTGCCAGGCTCGGGGTTCAGGGTTCCCCGCTCCATCGTCTGCCTTCGTTTAATGGAAATCTCGTACAGGGGACCCAAGGCTTTCGGGAGAACCTGTCTCCCAGGATGTATCAGTGGCTTCTGAATGGATTGGGAGGAAGCACAGCAATCACGTGATCTGATTGACTCTGAAGCCCGAAATTTGGGTTTTGAGGGAGTTCCGTCCCCGGAGGCCTTGTGTGCCCTGTTAAGCGAAGTCCGCCGCTATCAGGCCTCGGGCTGCTCCGTGAGGGAGGGGGACGCCAACGTGTGCCCTGGCCTGCCTCGTCCCGGGGAGGGCTGAGGGCCTGTTTCCCCCTCTGTTAAGCGAAGGGGTCAGAGCAGGGGAGGGGTGTTGGGACTTGCCCCCATGGTACTCAGCAGCCCAAGCTCACGACAGGACCAGAACAGAGCTTGAGGCCCTGCTCCCGGCCCCTCCCGTGCCATCTTTCCTAGCAGTCAAAGCCCGAGTCAACAGCTGTGTCGTCAGGGCAGGGTTTATTGAGCCACGGGTTTCCTCCTCACACCCTGGGCAAGACATCTTCAAGCCTATCCTGCCTCGACTCCGGAAAGGACGTGCTGAGCCTGGGCAGCAGAGGTGAACATTCTTGCTCTTAGGACGGCCGTCTTCGAAGTGCCCCCGGGCACTGCCCCCAGCCTTTGTTCACCAAGGTGACCGGTGGAGACAATAAGAGAGGCGGGCTGGCATTGCTTTGGGGCGGGCTGGGGCTGGGTGACAGGCCTTCCCAGGGAGGCCCGCTTGGTCCTGGGCGGCACGATCTGTGCACGGCGCCCCTGGGTTTCTGCCAGGCTCCTCACTGTCATGCCAGGGGGGTTGGATGAGGAGGCAGTGGGCACAGGGCCTCTGAATCCAGCTCGGTGGGGCTTTCTCACTTCAAGGATCAGGCGCAGGTGACGTGTGAGTGGATTCAAGTGAATTCAGGAACTCGGGGCGCGCCCGGCAGGGAAGCGGGCCACGCAGAGAGGGAACAGCCCTCTTCCCAGGAGGCCGGGCCAGCAGCGGGAGGCAGAGGAAGGGGCTCAGGCTGGGTGGTTTGGGCACTTGGGCGGTGGGGGGGGGGGAGGGGGGGGCGGACGCGGGCTGGAGCCCGCCCGAAGCCTGTCACTGGTCCGCGTGACGCAGCAGCAGGTCCACAGCCTCTGCGAGGTTGTCCACGTACCCGTCAGCCTTCACTTCCGGGTGGTGCTCATCACCGGGCCTGGAGAGCACGGCCACAGGTTAGGCAGCGACCCCACGACGGCCCTCTGAAGGCACACCCCGTGGCGGAGCTGCCCCCAGCATCCAGCGCAGGCCTGGCCTCGCCCGGAGGAGCCTTCCAGCCCTCTGTGCCCAGCCAGGCAGCCTGGCCCGTGGCCACCGGCCGGCCCTTCCTCGCCCCCGCCCAGGCACACACACCTCCCTCCTGACTGTTCCCTCCGCCCGGACACCTCCCCAAGCTTGCCTCCTACTGGGAGCCTGTCCAGCCCTGTGGTGGAGGGACCGCTGGCCCAGCTCCACCAGGACTCCCAGAGGCATCTCACGGTGACAGCAGGGCCATAGCGCGCCCTGCTCTGGGGTCTCCAGTGTTCACCTCACTCTCCTGGCCTGTCCTAGGCCCAGGACACAGGCACTCTGAGGACACCCAGGGTGGAGGCCTGGGCTCCCGCCTGCCCAAGCGCTGGAGTCCCAGGGTGTCTGAGAGCAAGTGCCATCCAGCCCGTGCCCCTGGAGGCCATGCCCACCCGACAGAGAAGGCCCCGGCCTCCTGGCCAAGACATGCGCTTCTTGGGGCAGGAACCTCCCCAGCCTTTATCTATCCAGCAGACATCTTCTGAGGCCTGGCTGGAGGCAGGGGACACAGGCATGAGACCTCAAGATGGTGCAGAAGCCAGGCTCGGTGGCTCAGCCTGCAATCTCACGCCTTTGGGAGGCTGAGGTGAGTGGATTGCCTGAGCCTGCGGGTTCCAGACCCATCTGGGCAGCAAGACCTCACCTCTACAATAAATCAAAAAATTAGCCGGGTGTGGTAACGCGCGCCTGTAGTTCCAGGCTGAGGTGGAAGGATCGCCAGAGCCCAGCAGGTGGAGGCTACGGTGGCCGGGAGCAGCCAC